CCTTACGTAACGCACGTCGCTGCTACACGTAATGCACGTCGCTGCCTTACGTAATACGTAAGGCAGCTAGGCTGCCACACGTAACTTACGTAAGGCTGCTTTACGTAACTTACGTAAGGTTGCTACCATAAAGGGTAGTAGGGGGTCATTTGAACGGTCCTCTGATCCTCTTTTATAAGAGACGGCTATTAGACCGCTTAAATTCAGTACTAAGCTCTTTTCAAGGATAGTTTACCGAGAAGACCGTCCCATTGAAAGGGACCGTTTTGTGGCCGTCCCATGGCCGTCCTCGTTCAGATTTTTAAAACAAGCTAATCAAAGAGCCTGTTTTAAATAATTAAAACAGTTTATCAACCATTTTAAATAAGAAATACTTAGAATATAAAAACTCTTCCTATAATGATATCGTTTTTATTAATGAAATGATCCGAAGATAGTATTAAATAAGCTATAATTAGTACGTAAAACTGCGTTTATCAATGATACCGTTTTAATCGGCAGAACTACTTCTTGACAGTCCGATCTTAAGTACCGATTTTCATATCAATTGTTTTATTAATATATTGATCCGATCATAGGTTTAAGTAAGCTATAATTAGTACGTAGAACTGCGTTTATCAATGATACCGTTTTAATCGGCAGAACTACTTCTTGACAGTCCGATCTCAAGTACCGATTTTCATGTCAATTGTTTTATTAATAATTGATCTGCAGATTGTTTTCTAATATAAAGCGCAAGAAACTATATTTTTACCGCTTGTAATCATGGTTTTGATAAGTACATTTATAACAAACAAGTAAGCAATAGCTCATAAGTAAACTCTAGCTTTAAGTATCATAATAACATTAGTACGCCTCCTTAGGGTATCTAAAACGCCAAAACATTCCTACGTACCTTCTAAAATCAGACCTGCCTCTTTCGCTAAATAAAGGTATTTAAACAATCAATGCTTCAAAAGTACCTAGCCCAAATGCTTTACTAAGCTTTCCCAGCAACTTAGATACACCATGCTAAAACAACCTTATACTCCGCTATCTTGCAACTCATTCGAATACATCAAGCTCGTCGGTATCAGACTCAATAAGCTTTTCGCTAGCGTGGAGCCGTTCTTCAACCTTCGGTGTCAGCTTGGTCTTTTTGATCTTCGGCATTTGCTTGGTCAATTTAGCAGGCTTCTCTTTAAATGACCGCTCTTTGACTAAGAATCGGCGGTCCTCGATAATCGTAAAGGTTTAGATGAAGTCGATAAGTTCTCGATCTAAATTTCTAGTCGCAGGCCGAGGATCCATCGCTAGCCAATCGATATGGAAATGAATGCGCATGCAGAAGTTGGCGTACCATTCTTTCATATACCATTTGGCTGCTAGTTTGCACTGTTCAAAGTCCAACTGATCGGCGGCGAAATACATTATATATGCGAAGTTTTCCTACGAAAATGTCTTTTCATAGTAGCTCTTGACTGCTACATCCATACTCTCAGTAAAGCTTGCTAGCATTTGAGTGCCTTTCTCGGTCTTATCGAATTCTCGCAGACCCTTAACGTGGACTTAAAGACATCATTAATTATATATATGAATTGGCAGATATATATCGACTTACGATTGCGTAATCCTTCATCCGATTCTGTATTCTTCGATATACAGACAAGACTCGCTCCTTCATCAATTGGTATAGCGGATAAGTTCGATCGGCATTAGGCAAGATTGACTGCGTAACTTCTTCGTGATTTTTGTTATTTAAAGTCCTTACAAAGTCCCAGTGTACACGCTGTATCGCTTTATCACATAGTGATTTCTATGTATAGCCTCTTAAGCCGATTGCTTCCAGATCAACCTCAGCAGGACTTGGCCTCGTTAAGCGTTTGCGTTTCTTGCTCGCGAGAAATTCGATCTCGAGTATCTCTGTATCGGCTCCGTTGCCCTCGTAGGTAGTCCCGTCCTCGCGCTGTCCTTCATCGTCTGCAATCTCCCTATTCTATATAAATTAATCGCAGATAGTAAATGGAATAGTAAGCAAACATACCTCATTTGCTATTGTGGCTTTGATTTCGATGCATTGGCCAAGTGGCAAACGATTTGGCTAGATGATGTAAGTAAGGAATTAAAAAAGCTGGGGAAATACCCGTCTGCAAGTTACTAAGGTACATTAGCTTGCTGCAGACTTAGCATTCAGCCTCATCTAAATATTTTTATTAAATTTATGTTAAAAGATGTTAGCTATTATTCTTTACTATTATATTTAATTCTAAATAATATTGCGTACTGCACATATTATAAATTTCGTATTAATGCCCAGCTCTAATACAATTTAATTTTCCATTTTGTCGAAAAAAAATCCTGCTATTACCTACCTTTATCCGGTGAGCCGGCGGCAGCCGACCCGGGCTCGAAGGTGCGACAAAGCAAGATTGAAAAAAACGGTAAAAAATCGATTTTTTTAAAAATCAAAGGTTTTAAACTGAACTTTCAATTCCTTCTAAACCAACCAAAAACAACCATTTTCACATCTGCAACCAATGTCGCGTAGAGCGGGCTTCCTAGACCGGCTAAGCACTACTGGTCCACCTCCTCCGCCTTTACTACAATCTTCTTCAAGACCTCCTTCAGAACCTCCCTTAGAACCTCCCTTAAGACCTCCCTCAAGACCTCCCTCAAGACCTTCAGCTTTTCCACCTCTCTCTTTTGTTTCTAATAGAAGCTTCGGTACCCAAACATACTTCGACGATAATAGCGGACTTGATGACAATAGAGAAAGCCAAGCCTAGCGTCTTACACCTACCACAGCTATTGAAAGCGTCGAAAGAAGCATTAAGCATGTGCATTCTATAATAGCTATAGCGGATATACCTCTGGATAGTGTCGAATCGGACAACAAGTCGGGCATACCAATGGACGAGATCGCGGAAATAAAGGCTACGCAAGAAATAGAAAAGGTTGAATTTTTGAGTGGACGTGAGCTGGACGAAGAACTCACTGATAATGCCTCTGCAATACGCTCTTTACTTCCTGTAAAGCAATTCCCTGATAACATCGATGACGGTTCAGAACTTATGCTACACAAGCAAAACAAACACAATCTATTGGATAATTAGTCTTTTGCTCTTAGAATATAGTGTAAAGCTTTTCACGTATCTCGGAAACAGTATAAAGCGCTACTAGAAGCATTTAAAGTGGTCTCGGATATCAAACAGCTTTCAAACCTTCTTGCAATCGTAAAGACGTTGGTTAAACAAGTCGAAGCTCAACTTCCTTTGCTCGCTATACGGAAAAAGAAAGTAGCCTTAACGCTTGAAAAGCTACTTACTCTCTCCGCGATTGATAGACTGGACCTCGGACGGTCTCTTGCCTATAGTTGGATGTATTGGTTCGATCTTATCTGTTTGATGGTCAAGATACTGGAAACACCGGCAATCGTTAAAGCTATGCATTTCGGTTTCGCGGAATTTGTGGACGAAGCGACTGAATATTGGCATTCTATGTCTTGGGCTGCTTTAGTGCGATCAACTTGTGGAAAGCATGCGAGACATAGAGATGGGAGTGGGATTTTTCCTAGTGATATAGTTACTTATACATGCCGAATGCTTCGATGCAAGTGTAGCAGCGAAGAGTCGCATATAGGACGGGTATCTGCGGTCGGTATCGATAAAACTTTAAAGTCTAACCATAAAGGAAAACTCACACTCTTGATCTAGCGAGCAGCTCTTGAAGCTTGGTCTCGGAAATATCTGGATTGTTCGATGGTACAACCGCTATTGGAGATTGATGAGTTAATCTTGATAGAAGACGCTATTAATTGGGTACTGGAAACCGATATTATCGAAGTTTTGCATGATTTCCAAGTCGATTATACATTTGCTACGGGAATATCTTTTGTTCAGCCCTTGCCGTATTCTTTTAAGCGCATTCGCCGAATCGTTAATAGAGTTACGAAAAAGATTCGTTCGATTGTTTTATCGAATCCAATCAGAGCTGAATTAGAATTTAAAGCTTACGGCAGGGATTGGTTCGAGAACTCAAGCCTTGATACTCTCTCTATCCCGATCTTTTGTTTTATTGACGGGTTCGGTCTATACCGAAATATGTACAGGAGCTTGATCGCCGTTTACTTGATTATCGCTAGCTTGCTTCGAGAAGAACGAGCGAATCGTGCTAATATACTACTTTTAACACTTTGCTCTTATGGAAGCGACTTTGGCAGCGCTATTACCAATATTAGCTCTATGCTTTTACTGGATAAGGGGATTACAGTTTCCGTTCAAGGCTAAGATAAGCGACTATGTGTATGGACATTGAATTATTTAGGCGACATGCTTTAACAAAACAAGAATTCTGGTGTTAAATCATAGTTTGCAAACGCAAGCTGTAGAAACTGCTTCATTACTAAAAAGCAGCGTGGAGATCTAATGTATGATGTGGTCTTTAACGGCAAATACTATCATTATTTTATACAACTTCGAAAGCACGGCGAAGGCTTGGGCAAGACTGCGTACACTAAACATTGTACCGAATTCGGACTTGACGAAGAATTAACACTATTGGTTACTATGACCTTTGCATTAGATCTGGTCAGAACTCGCCTTGCAGACCCTGCTTATTTTGAATTTGGAGGTCAAGCGAAACAAGCTCAGCTGCTTTTAATCGAAGCTATCTTAACACTAGAAGCTGCTAAGCTATATGCTGCTGAGCTTAGGATCTTTCCATTTCCTAAAGGATGGGGCAGATTACAATCTCTTATCAAACACTTGAAGTCTTGGAGGATGGGTGAAGCTGGACGTTCTATTATCATTACCACTTTGCTCTTAAGGTGCTGGTTAAAGATCGAGTATGTTCGACCGCTTTTTCTTTAAGCTTTGATGCGTGATCACGCTGATTTGCGGACGAATAAGAAAGCGGTTATCTTCATCATAGAATTCTTTGGGAAGCTAGCATTGAGTACATCTATTGTATTAAGACCTGCCGTTGAAATCAGACACTATATTACGCTTCTTAGCATCGTCATGGAAGGACGCTAAGCTTATCAAGATATCTGCGAAGCTGCTGCTTCTGTAGCTGGCCAGAAAACTAAAAGAAGATCTTCTAGTCGCGCTATTTCAGCTTCACCAGCTCTTTTTTAATTAGATATGAGATTTGAATCTGAAGATGATGAGGAAGTGCCCGCAGAGTTCGATGATTCGCACGAAGTCCAATCCGGAACTAAAGCTAGGAAAGCTGCAGAGTACAGAAGCTTTAAGTCCAGACTTAACGTGCATCAAGCTTGTCATATGGTAGATCTTTTCCGTGAGTACGCAACGCTAAACAACTGCTAAGTTCTGCAATGCGAAGACAAGCACCGGTATGTTACATTTAAAGATTTGCATTTGAATTGTTTTAATTTATTATACAGACTTTATAAGTTACTTGGTTTTTTAGGCAATGGCCGCGCAGTCGAAAAGGTTTTATTGGAGTATGAAAATTTCTAACAAACTATGAGATTGATTATTGGAGGTTGCTTTGCCGAATCCGATGCATACGTAACGGCACAAATCATGCGCTTATATAGAACGTGCTCTACTACTATCGATACTTTCTTACCGGCTTCTGAACAAACAGAAGAAGAAGAAGAAGAAGATTTTGATAGCTTTGATCTGATGGACGATTCTAATCACAAAGCTTCACGCATTTTCAAGCTTATCAAGAGGATATTATTACAATCGATCAAGCTGCTAATCTTTGGGAGCGAGCTGCAAGATCGCCAAACTAGCAAAGACAAATCGAAGATAGCTTGTGGATTGCGAGATGCGTACCGGCGCGAGTATCAAAAAGATCATATTATAATGTTTGGAAGCCGAGCGCTTTAATGGGCTGAGAAATTGAGCTGGACAGAACCGTAAGTAATATGATATTTATATTAATATCAAAGTCTAATATGATATAGGAAAAGCAAAAAGCGCTTCACGGTTTCTTCAGGAGACATTATCTAAATCACAGGCTACGAGATCAGCTATGTACGAGTTGATGCTGTTTTCGTCTATGAGCTTTTGAAGGACAACAGAAGAGCATTTCTCTTAGTAGCAGATCTTATCGAATACCTAACGAAGGATGATATCTTAAAGCTGCCTCGATACGCTTTGAATGGAAGATGAAAGGTTATCGGACTACCTGCTTTCGTAAGCAAGAGTGTCTATATGGTGTCGAATCGAACTTCTTCGAAGTTCACATTGGAGCAAAATGCATTCAGTCAAGAAGCAATTGGTACAGCTATACAAGATGAGTTCTTGCATTGCATATAGGAAATTGATTTTATATAAATAAATACAGATTGCAAACACGTCACGTTTAAAATAGAGCGTAAGCTAGTCAAAACGCACCTTACATCATATAAAGCTTCTTTCCTCATCTTCATCCTTAACAATTCTTTTATTTCTTCGATATCTATCTTCATCTTTTCCTATCATTTGTTTTTTTATTTATTACCGATGACTTGCATAATTAAATATTAGTGCCGTTGCCCGAAGTTTACTTGCTGCTTTCGAATTCGAAAATATTTGGGTGCCCGCTGGATGCCCGCTGAGTGCCCTATAAGGTGTCGACATCGAAGCCGGGCAATTGGCTGCGACAGACCAAGATGGCGGTCAACGGTCAAAATCGCCTTTTAAAGCATACCCTTTAAGATTTTGGCCAAGATGCGCGATTTCTCGTTTTACACCAAAATTTTGGTGTAGCTTTCGCTTTCTACTATCTTTTGATTTTTTTCAGAAACTTTCAGTCCGAACTAAAGAACGCATTTTGATTCTAGTATTTTCGTAAGTCCTCGCGTTTCTTTTTTAATATCTTTTAAGATATTCTTACAACTCTAATCTACCTCTTCCTCACCAAGCAGCAGATTCCTTACCAAGCAGCCTCTCCCTCACCAAGCAGCCTCTCCCTCACCAAGCAGCGGATTCCTCACCAAGCAGCAGATTCCTCACCAAGCAGCAGATTCCTTCACCAAGCAGCCTCTCCCTCACCAAGCAGCGGATTCTTTTTAGTAAGCTCTCTATCCTTTTGCCTCACCAAGCAGCAGATTCCTCACTAAGCTGATTCCTCACTAAGCAGCAGATTCCTCGCCAAGCTGCGGATTCTTTTGAGTGAGCTTTCCATCCCTTTATTTTACCAACCTTGCTAACAATTATACTTCAAGCAGCTTCTTTCTCGACTCTACCTACGATACGGCTACGACCGAGGACTTGACGCACAAGCATATAGCTAGGATTGATATTATACAAAAAGAAAGAGTATTTGAGGGTGGCGCGCGTGGTTAATGAGGCATAATTAAGAGGCAGCGAGTGCAAAGGCTGGCTAGAAGGCAGCGAGTGCAAAGGCTAGCTAAGAGGCAACGCGTATAAAACATATCTTTCAAAGTAACGTAACTTTTAGTAATCTATTTTATATGCTTGTTACTTTAATGAAACGGTCAAGAACTGTAGAATGGTCGAGGTTTATAGTACGATCGAGCTTGTAGGACGATCGAGCTTGTGGGACGGTCGAGCTTATGAGACGGTCGAGCTTGTAAGACGGTCGAGCTTGTAGGACGGTCGAGCTTATAGGACGGTCCCTTTTTAAAGACGATGTAAAAACAATTATAACTTATGATTAATTCAAAAGAAGTATAGTCTTAGCATCGTCTTTCTATAAAAAGATAATATCATTCTCGAGATGGTTTACATATATAAGATCGTATTATTATAAATACTATCTTTTTAATATAAGATTATTTCACGATCGAAATAGTTATAATTTTAAATTGTTTTATTATAAAAACGATTTAAACTATGAATTATATCTTTCTAAGTATCATCTTTTTACTATAAGACCGTTCTGTTAATGAAATGGTTTTCTAAAGAGACTAGCGCAAGTATATAACGATTCAGATGATAAACTATATTCATTCAATTATAATTTAAATTTTTAAAATAATCTAATTACAGATTTGATTTCATTTTAGCTATAGACCTGGGGTGATCCACCAGCCATACCAACCTATTAAAATCGTCCCCTAAAGAGATGGTTATCGGACGATCAGTTGACCGTCCAAATGCTCCTGCATTCCCCTTTAAGGTATACGTATAGCACGTCGTTGCCTTAAATATAAGTGATTCGCATTCGCAAAAAGGCTTAGGATTTTTTTGTTAAGATTAAGGTTTAGAAGGATCTCCTTCTCATATTCAATTATTAAAATATAAGTAATTTGCAAAAGGTTTT